CACGCCGTAACTCCAGGGACGCGCGCAGGAGACGCACGATACGATAGCGTGAGAATAGACCTGGCGTGGACATGGACCAATCACAAATTGCCAGCCCGTACCAATCCTATTTAAGCGTAGCCAACGCTTGCTGTCTTCTCATTTTCTCTGACGATGGCTTCTCGTGTGGAGCCGAAAGCTCAGAATAAAAAAAATCGTTCCAGAGCTCACGTCTTCCTCTTTTTTACTATGAAGGATATAAATTGGACCAATCAGATTGTGCCTTCGCACGACTAGCGACTCGATTGGCAATCGTATTGGTTCATCCCTAGCCTTGGTAGCCTCGTGTGACCTTGAAGATGCGCACGTGCGCATGCGGTCTTCGAGTGCGGTCGGACCGAGAACGTGACCTGAGTGCTTGCCAGGGCTGTGGTTGTTAGGATGGTTCCTAAAATGTTCCGCTGGGCTTCCTGCATCTATGTTTTCGCATTCATTAATTTTTGTATCAGCGCTTGCCCCTTACCTTTGCAGAATCCGTTAGCTTGAAAGTACCACTATCACATGTGCTTGCTAAGCAACATTTTTGTATTAGCTAGTGGTGCGCATTCCTCTCCTGATTACCACAACCTCTTTAATTTACCACACATTTTTGTTATTCCTCCGTACCACTGTCTTGGAGCAGGTTATCCTTTTGACTTAATTCTCTTTTCCAGCCCGACTCATCACCAATGTTGCAGTTCAATTTCTTTTTCATACCTTTGCGTCTTTCCACGTATTCTCGGCGGCAGAGGCAGTTGTGACCTTGTCTGGAGGTCGAGAGAATGATGACGCCTAGAGGAACTCTTGTGACTGTTTTTTGCTCGGAAACAAAGTTGAATAAATTAAGGCATCTTTCCGCCACCATGACAGAACAGTAGTTCCTCGTTTCACGTGAGGTGGCACAAACTTCAAATAGAAGGAAATGGAAGAAGAATAAGAAGGAGAAGAAGAAGAGAAAGAAGAAACGATCGCTAGTGCAGAAAAGACTGTTGTTAACTGAAATTTCTTTTGACTGCATGTTTTTGCCTTAATAGGTCATGGCTGCCTTGCAGACCGCTTGATGCTATAGTGCCTCGTTGCATTACCCTTTCTAGGTCCCTACCTTTTAAAGGAAGAGTTAGTTATGCCCCTAAATTGGGCTGAATCACGGGCGGCTTCTTAGTTGCATAATGCATCACAGCTTTTTTAGCTGAAAAACGACCCGAATTATCTTGGGTCGCCTTCAGGAGAGTGTGCGTACTGTGTGGAGAAACTTACACTGGCTACCGTCATCCGGTTTAGCCTACCGATCGAACCGACTCTCAAGGTGCCCTTATCACGCAGCACACATGCTCCACTGTGAGCTGAGTGACATCTAAGTGTCGTGGAGAGCGTTCCTCCGTGAAATGGACTCAGAAGTTAAAGCTGTACGTGTGCAATACGTGGCCTCTCGCGGAAAACACACTGCACAAAATATATTCATTTTTTTCGTTGCCTACGTAAATTACTGCTTCAATTTTTAAATACCCCCTAGGACCTATTTGATTGGCAGTAGTCCCCGCGATAACTACCACTTATAATTCATACTGCTGAACAGTCGTGAGCATCATAGACTAGGTAACCAGGTCATCTCTTTTCAATACCCTTATTTAAATCATACGGGTGTCCCAGGTTGAATGGGGTTGCGGTCTTAACGGTTCTTGGACACACTTCACAGTTAAAAGCTCGCCTATTTTGGTTAATTTATTGTAGTCTTGATCTACTTGTAAGTCCACAAGAGGCAGACACTTCAGAAGAAAAACGTATATGTGTTTGGCCTTTGTCTTGGTTTTATATTGGAAAGCTGTTTAACAATCGATCCCAGGATGTTCTTATCAGTGAATACTCGGGAATATTCAAGGCCGGTTTCGGTTCCCTGTTCCATGGTCTGTTTGCAGAAAGTGTTACGGATAGGACGTGTGAATGTCTCTGCGAAACATTCCAAGTCTCTCAAGGACTTGAGGTGAAAAATATCCGCACTTGTCCATATAAACTGTCACTTTTCCACATTGCCATGTGACCCCAGAAACAAAAAAAGCTATTCAGACAGGCAAGGATTATCTATTTTATCCTTGTATCTTATTCCTCGTATCCTTTACACGATACTGGAAAAAGAATGCCCCACGCAAGTAATGAAGTTGGCAACTTGCATAGTTCCAGGAAAGTAATTCTTAAACGTGCGTTTTCAGCAATTCATACTTGGACCCGTACAATTGCAGTGATAATTATACTAGAAGAGTTGAAAAAGATGGATTCATTCTTTTATCGTTGAAGAAGGATAGCAAGGAACATGTTGTCCTTATCGTCTTCAAACTTTGCAGATAACTTAAGCGATGAACGCACACTGTTAAATTCTAGGATCTGGGCATCTGTGCCAGTGTAATATTCTGTCAGACGGAAAATGTCATGCAGATATTGACCTTTAACTTCGAGATTACTGATGGTTTCCATTTAGACTCAATTCCTCGATCTTGTACACCTAAGCTGCTGATATAACCTTATTCCTACTCCTGCCTCAACCTCTAACCAACTTATTGACAACAAACTTAACCTCAACAGCAACTTATCTGAACGCAAACGCTAACCATAAAGCGAACATTATTTTCTCCGGAATTTGGCGAAATGTGGCCGGTCTTTGGACGGTTCTTTTCTTCATGTCCTGTTTCGGGGATCAGATATATTATTCATGCCCTTAATTCTAACAGTATTTGCATCTGCTGGAGACCAGAGGAAAATCAGGGGCATCACTTATGTTGCAGCAAGAACCTGTGAACTCTCAAAGCGACAAACCGAGTCCTAAAGGGCGCATAATTAAAGTCTAAAGATGAAATTTTCAAATTATTTACAGTGAAAGTGTTACAAGGGCGCTTCACTCATACAGGGCATACAGTGTCCCTCGAATAACTTCAACAGTTAAATGTATGCATAGCATTAGGCAACAATGAGACTACCTATCGAATTCGCAAATGAATACTGATTTCAGCCTTTATTTTCGAATTTAACGATCAGCGCATTAGTTCCTGTAAATTTTCTGTATGGATTAACAGCGAATAGTATAGCAGGTGAAGTCCTTTGACGAAGAACAAGAAGAAAAAGCGACCACTGGAACAAGTGTTTTATTGTTCCTTAATCCTTAATCATAGGTAATCGTAGAAAAGTCTGCGACATGTGCAGGTAAGGGTGATACATGCACAGATTGCACGGCATTTATAGTTCGTAGCGGCCATCCGCATCCGTACTATAATTGTCAGTTCCTGTAGCCACCGCTTGAAGTCTTAATTAGTGCGGCGATAGCTCATTAATTGCCACAATATTCTTGTCCGGGTCGGATGCGGGCTTGATAATTGAGCGACAGTTTTGCCCGCTGTGGTCAGAGTTGTTGATGCGCCTGA